TTCAACTCTGATCGTGAGTGATGCGAAATAGATCGAGTTAGGTTAGGTTTGCAATATTTGATTTTAATTCGAGGAAAAGTAGTACGCTCGCCGAGAGTTTATGTTTGTCTCTAATTTGAACCATCATGGGCAGTGAATGTTTAATAAAAGTTGAAGCTACTTCAATAAAATTACTTCGATAATTTATCGTTCGGAAAAAAGTAATAATAATCGCAAATAATTAGTAGTGGCAAAGTGATCGAGGTTACGTATTAAATATTAGTTAAGTATTTTTAATAAAATAATTACTCGAAGTAATTTTATTCGAGATTTTTAATTTTATTACAGTTACAACTTTCCAACGTTGGGTTAATGGCCAACTCTCCCGATTACATTGGGATATATCGGAAAATTGCGATATACGTAAGGGCGTATTCCTCCCCGGATGAGCGTGGGCTGTTGTGAACTTAGAACTTGGGAAGGTTACGAAGATCGTGACGTCAGTGGGATGGAGCAATCCGGATTCTATATTTACGCGGGCTGGAAATGAAAGCGAGGAAACGCATAGTTGAAATTTGTGCGTGTAATTTAATTCTTTAACGATCCGATAAATCTTCTGAAAAAATGTGTCGTAACGAAAGAAGCGTCAAAGTAAATACTCAAGTATATTTACTTGAGCTTTGGGGGTTATGTTTTTTATCGTGGCGTTATTATTTCTCAAACTATTGAAGATCTATCGTCGAATATAATTTTGAAAGTAATTTACGATCTTAAATCCGCTTCGTAACCAGCTGAAGAGGTTATGCCTCTCTTTCAATGTCAGGAGAAAATCTTCGAATATCGTCTTTTTATGCGAAAAATTACGGCAATATCGGTACAATAACCTTAAATTGCGATTATTTTCTTTTTTTCGATTTTCGATTTTTCTCTGTGAATAAATATGACCATGACGAATCGAATTAGAGCTCTTTCTGATGGGTCTGACGTCATATCCAAATTTAGCGCAGCTGGAAAACTCTCGAATACCAATTTTCGAGTGGAAAATTGCGACAATTCAATGGTCTTGGATTGCAATCGATCGCTATTTCCTGTTTTTTTTCTTGTTGTTGATTTTCAGAGAAAAGAAGTAAGAATTTCGACTTTCTTACGAAGCCTCATTCTGCGATTCAAACGTGTCATATTCCAATTTAAAATCCTCTAAATACCGATTTTGTTATTAAAACACAGTTACAGATGGTTTCGATCGCCATTTTCTTTTTCTTGAGAGAAAGAAGTGAAAGTTTCGACTTTTTGACAGGTTTGTTCGACAACGATAATTTATCTAATCTATAAAATTTTTGTTATATGATATAAAAATAATTGTTTTGACGCTCTCAATTTCAAGTTGATCTTTCTCTTGGTAAATGAGATAAAAAATGCAATTTTGATTCGTTCGAAAAAAACTTAGACGATATATGTAAATTAATATTATCCGGATCACGATGCTTGGATCATTTTCATTTATCCTTTTATTCACAATGTTCCAGTATGGTTAATTCATAATCAGTGAAATCGCAATTCATTTTAACGCAAATTCGCGCAATTATCAACATGCATTTCCAGCCGCATAATTGCATTCTTTGGAGGATGAAATTTCTGGAATGACTCTTTCTGTCTTCGTGAATATGCAAATTTGACTGCGTACTACCCTCCATCCAAGAATACTCGGGGAAAAAACGCTGGCCACATTGTATTCCATTTGCAATATTCCTGAATGGGAATCGCAGCGTTTTAATTACTAGATCGAGAAAATTCTGTCTTATTCAAGCATCTTTTTTAATTGATAAGGAATGATAAGAAAAGATTCGTAGAAAAAAAAAAAAGGATCCGTAGAGAAAGAAAAATAAATTAGAGAAAATTGTATAGATGAAATGTATATCTGTGTTCTATTGTAAATTTTTTTTTTTTAAATTTGTCGCGATTGAGAAGATATTTCTTGCCAGCTCGATCGAGTGTGTGGCAGGGGATATAATATAACGTTAAGAAAGTCCAGAAAGAAGAAACTTTACTTGGCTATTGCTATTCGAAAGTTTGCACAAGTTTCTTATTGCATTCTTCATTTCTTCAAAAAAAAAAAAAAAAAAAAAAAATGAGACTCGATGTACGTACAGGGAATAAATATCCTCTTCACCTATTGAATATCCCTTCGTTATCAATTTTACGCGAGATATGTTTCACAATTTAACGATTATAACGTTATTATATAACGTCTAGTTGGTTTTTTATTTTCGATTTTAATTAAACGGGGAATAATAAACTTTAAAAAGGGGACGATAATTAAAAAAAAAGAGGGAGAGAGAGAGAGAGAGAAAGAGAGTTAATTATAAATTCTGTTGTCTGAAAGTTGAATACGTTATTTAATCATTTCTCGTTGCAAGTATGAAGAATTGAATCTATTTATCTGGATAATTCGATGCTTAATTCGAATATAAGAATAATAGAGAGGAAATTATTTCACGTTTTTATGAAATTTATCGGATTATATTGATCGTTTCAAATGCTCGTCGTTAATTTTATTTGAAGAAGATGTATTTACTCCAGACAAATCAGAAATATATATTCGTTTAATCTCTAAGAGTCCTAAGAAAGGGCGCCTCTTTCATCCAATTATCGATTCGAATTATCCAACAATTTTCCGTCCTTCAACCACCAAAATTCTCGTATCAAACAAACGCGAAATTAAGTATCCAACGAGAGAAAAAAATCGGAGCAGATGTCGAGTTTCACGCGATAATTTTGCGGTGAAATCCGGATCGAGGCCAAGAAGGCCACGTTTTGTTTGTCGAGAAAGATTCATTTGTATTGCAGGAAAATAAAAGAGGGAACGAAATAGTTGGAACGGTGATCCTCCTTACTTCCTCGAAAATTCTAATTTCTCTTCATCCTTCCAATTTCTCTGTCTTCCTTCCGCAATTATTCTCAGTTTAATTGTATAAATTTCTTGACAATTCCATAATATGACTTATATATTAAAAAATTCCAAATTTTTAACATACAATATATCACAAATCAATAGTTCAATATTGCTTTAAAAATCAGAATACTAGAATTCTAAATTTGTAAATTTTTAACATCAATATATCACAAATTAATAGTTACTTTAAAAATTAGAATATTACAATTCCAAATTTGTAAATTTTTAACATTAATATATCACAAGTTAATAGTTACTTTAAAAATTAGAATATTACAATTTTTTCAAATTTGTAAATTTTTAACATCAATATATCACAAATTAATAATTACTTTAAAAATTAAAATATTAAAATTCCAAATTTGTAAATTTTTAACATCAATATATCATAAATTAATAGTTACTTTAAAAATTAGAATATTACAATTTCAAATTTGTAAATTTTTAACATTAATATATCACAAATTAATAGTTACTTTAAAAATCAGAATACTATAATTCCAAATTTGTAAATTTTTAACATACAATATATCACAAATTAATAGTTCAACATTACTTTAAAAATCAGAATACTACAATTCCAAATTTGTAAATTTTTAACATCAATATATCATAAATTAATAGTTACTTCAAAAATTAAAATACTACAATTCCAAATTTTTAACATCAATATATCACAAATTAATAGTTCAACGTTACTTTAAAAATCAGAATACTACAATTCCAAATTTGTAAATTTTTAACATCAATATATCACAAATTAATAGTTACTTTAAAAATTAGAATATTACAATTTTTTCAAATTTGTAAATTTTTAACATACAATATATCACAAATAACTTGTTACTTTAAAGATCGCTCAACAAACTTGTCTGCTGAAAATTAACCTCCTCTTTTTACGGTTGAAAGTTGGTCACCCTGATGGAGGATCTTGAAAGGGAGAGGAGGGGGGAAGAGGGAGGGTGGAAATGGACGAGAAACGGGCGCGTCGGTTTCCAGGAAGGTGTGTAAAAAAGAAAAGTGCAGGAACAGGCGGGGCAGAAATAGCGGTGGTTAATTTTGCACCGGTCCAAGCTATAAACGTACATCATACAGCCTCCGCGTCTGTTCAACGTCTGTCCTCCTTCTTTCTTTCTTTCTTTCTTTCGCTCCGCTCGCTCGCCACCACCACCCCTCCCCCTCCTCTTCGCCCTTATCCTACCAATCTAGACGTCTGTTCGTGTTTTACGAGACTTGAAACTTATTCCTCCCAAGTTCCTTCTCTCTTAGTCGGTTCTCTTCATCGGCGCTGTCTTATTATTATGGTTATGTCTTATTATATTATGTCTAATTATGAAATTGGGATCAGAGGGAGGGGGAGGATTTGGTAAACAATGTTAGGAAGAGAAGTTAGGGCTAGTTTATTAATTTTATTCGAGTCGAAGCCGATCGTTGGAGGAACACTTTTCTTTTTTCTTTATCTTCTATTAGGGATGATTCTACAGTTCACAATTATTACGTTTTTTTTAAAGCTATTTCTTTGTTACGAAAGAAGAAAAATTAAATCAATTGGACAAATATTTGTAAAATCCCTTAAAGTAATAATTTTGAAAATTTATTTTTTGAAATATATAAAATTAACGCGAATAACAAAGGAAAAAAAAAATATCTCCGTTGTTTCATTCCATCTTTTGATAGATATTGCTCCAATTTTTGAAGGAACAAATTAATAATCCCAGTGTGCTCGACCTGTCGATACAATCACCGGAAGTTGCGGCCATGAAATAGATATTTAGAGACGTAGGATTCTTGGTTTATTTGCAGTGGTTCCTCTTCTTTCTCTCCCCCTTATTTCTTTCCTCGTCCTTGCCGCAGAAGGGGTCGAAGGAAAAACAAATGAGGCAGCAAATCAAAAGGGGTTCCTTCCTTCCAACCCTCTTCCTCGCCAATACCTCATTTCCCTTTGGATCCCTCTTTTAACCGCGCTCTTTGAACTGCTTTGTCGCTCATCTTTCTTTTTTTTTTTTTTTTTTTTTTTTTTTTTTTTTTTTTTTTTTTTTTTTTTTTTTTTTTCCCCTCTTTGTTTCAGACGTACCCAGCGAGCAATCCGTTTTCGTCATGCTGAACGGCGAGGAGAGCGAGCTCAGATTCCTCAACATCTCGAATCCGAAGGTGAGCTGCTTCCTTCTCTCTGTTTTTTTTATATTTTAAATCGCACAGTCGATTCGAATAATGTAAATGGAATGAAAATTTTCATTTTCATATGTATGAAGAAAATAATTGCTTCAATGTAACGTATATACATTAAAATTTTAAATCTTCTTTTTTTTCTTTTTTTTAAACGTTTATAAATTAAACAAGATATATATATATAGGCAGATAATTAATCGAGTTGAGAAATAAAAGATAAAAATTATCAAAAAGTATTTTAAATTTCAATTTTATGATAGATATATGAATATCATGTATTTTAATTTAAATCGTTGTCGATAAGTTTCTTGTTCTTTTTTTCTTGTAAATTAAGTTATTACTTCGTATTAGAAATTCACACGATGTAATGATTTGTCAATGATTTTTTGTACGTTCCACGCGATAAGAGGATGGAATGTACGAAAGTAGTAGAAAGCTGAAAACTGGAAGGAAATAAATTTGTCCAGTTAGCTCCTATTAATCCTATAAATATTAATTGTGTAATTCAGTTTCTATTTCTCGTGATATTTAGAATTATTCAATTGCTGATATTTTTCTTAATTTTAATTTTTCTTTCCTTTCTGTTCACGAATCTTAAATATTATGAAATTTAGATTCTGGAATGATATTATGAGAGAAATGTTTTTAATGGAGAATGAAAATATAAAATTATTGGTTATGACTCATAATATATGTAGATAATTGATCCTCGTGATTTTTCTGTTTTCCATTGTTCAATGTTTGTTTTTTCCATTGATACGATGTTGATTTAATATATCTCGATAATATTGACGAGAGAGAATTTTCGTTATAGAGAATCGATCAATGAAATAATTGAAAATAATAAATATCATTGTTTCAACTTTATAAAATTTATATGAAATATTTGTAATAAATATTCATAAGGAAATAAAATTGCACTAAAAAAAAAAAAAATAATTGCACGTTGTGTTACACAAATATGAATACAATGATAGATTAATGTAACTTTGATGATTACTTATCTTTTAGTTACTTATTTTTCTGCTAAAAATAAGTCCTTTATATTTCTGTTTCAAAAAGACGGAATTGGAGAAGAATCTGGATGCCTTTGTCATTATGTATTCCGTGATTGATAAGGCATCCTTTCAGAGAGCGGAAGAATATCTGGAACGTCTTCACGACCAGGATTTCCATCGAGGAAAATCGACTATATTAGTCGGTAACAAAGTGGATCTGGTTCGATCGAGGGTAGTTTCTTCCCAAGGTTGGTACCTGTGCATATTTATTATTATGGTTCTAAAAAAATCCCCAAAATGGCTTTCACGAGTGATACCCTACTATGCATGAGATCAGACACGTAACACGACGAAGATGCACCCTTTGTTTATATTATTTTTTTACACGAACGATATTAATATTCCACAGAAGCAAAAAAGGTGCTAGCAATTTAGATTCCAATTTTAAATTATTCCATATATTTCAAAAAGAACGTCATTTTTTTATTTCAAATAGGATTTTACAAACTAAATTTCTTAATAAAAAATTCCATAAAATTTCAACGATCCTCTCAAAACTCGACAATTTTTTTTTTTCATATCTCACAAATTAACTTCAATCTTCCTATTCTCACTATATCCACGCACACTCCACAAATCATGCCTCCTCTCCTTTATAACTTTATATAATAAATCTCCAATGTTTCATAAAACTTCAATAATAATAATAATGTATCTTGAATATAACAAAACTTCGACAGAAAAACTCAGAACAAAAACACCGATCCATTGAAATTGGAACATTTTCTTCTCCCTTTTCCCTATTCTTATTTCAACCCCTTTTTTCATCCTCCATTTTATCCCATTCAATCGGCCTTGGTCGTCCCTTTATAAATACCCTCTTCTTCCCCCTCCCTCCCTCCCCCTTTATCTTTACTCTCTAATCCTTTTGCGCGTGATGCAGATGGCAAGTGCATGGCGTGCACCTATCGGGTGAAGTTCATCGAGGTCTCGGTCGGGATCAACCACAACGTGGACCATCTGCTGGTCGGTATCCTGAATCAGATCCGTCTGAAGAACAGCAGCAACGTGTCGGAGAACCGGGGTGGAAACGGAACCAGCGAGGGTAGCGGCCATTGGTACAAGTCGAGGGGTGTGGTTCGAGCGAGCATGAAGGCCAGACAGATGTTGACGTGGCTGTTCGGCAAAGAGGACAGCAAGTTCAAGAACTGCGAGAATCTTCATGTCCTCTAAGGATGGACCGATCGATCCAATTCTTTCTTTTTCTCTCTCTCTCTCTCTCTCTTTTCTTTCTTTCTTTTTTTTAATCTGTGGTCGTACCTGAGGACGTAGATTGTAAGAGCCGGTCTACTTGGTACAATATACTTGACGATATGCTTAATCCACGATACTTCCAGAAAGATGCAAACGAAATCTTGTTTGAATGCCAGGGATTGATATGATTGGAATTTGATCCAATGGAAGAGGGAGGGCGAGATTGAATTTCGTTCAAGGGGGGTGGTAGGGTAGCAGTCTCGATACGGATGGCCAATTTGATTATTAAATATTCATGGAGCGGTTCCTTTTGTTTCGTGGAGGAGGACTAACGGAAAAACAATTCTATCGTGCTTCTTGTATTTCTTTTATTTCATTTCGATGGAGAAATTTTTAGGGGGAAGTGGTTGAGGAGAAGGATTTGAAATTAGATGGGGATTTTTGATACAAAAATTGGAATTATTGGAAAGTAATATAATAGTTTTCTTTTTTTTTTTTTTTTTTTTGGAATTGTCTGGATTTTTATCCGAATTGAATTTTCATTGAAAATTTGGCTTAAGTAATTGTAATTGTATGTAAGTAATTGTAAATAATAAGATTGTTACGTAAATATGATATAGAATTTTTTTCATATTTTTTTAAGTTAATTTTATCTTCTTTTGTTATTTTGAATTCGACAAATTGGCCATTCAATAATCACGAGAAAATCTGGAAAATATCGGAATGCGATCAAAGTGCCAATTAGATCAAACGAACGTTTGTTTCTCTTTCTCGACGATTAATTTTTAATTAATGTTAGCTTTTAATAACTTCCATCGAGGATTCGCTCGATATCTATCGTAATATCTGTAAGAATAAGTTTGTTAAGTCGCCTGTGTTGGTATTCGTTATACGTATACGCAAGAGAAATATTTACATCTTTGGTAGTTCTTCGAGGCAAAATTTAATGTACACACGATTTGATTAATCCTTTGATAATTCTTTTATTTCTGGTCACTTCCTTCGTAAAATATTCATTTATCTTTCTGCGTTTAATAAACGCAAATTACGAATTGAAAATTGTGAAAATAAAAAAGAATAATATAAATTGTTTAATTATTGCCCGGTCATTTCTTTTGTATTTGATTCAATGAAAGATTATAATTTTAAAAAGATCGATATACAAATTTAATTTTCGTTTTTATATTTTATATTATATATACAATTCTTCAAATAGCTATTCTGGAAGGTCAGAAGAAATTTAAAAGAAGCGAGGATTTAATAAGAAAGAAATAGTCAAAAGATTAATCAAAAGGAGGAATTCTTCTAAGACTCGAGAAAAAGTCGAAAGATTAAAAAAAAATATATATATATCTATAAGGGAGAAGACAAGAAGGAGTTGAAATCTAATTGATACGAAGGAATTTAAATTGGACCATGGCATGAATTAGCGGCCAATAATGTTACTGTCGTTACTGTATAATAAGACCAATCTAATCTTCTTAATCCGAATTGTATATACTGATAAGTTTAACGATAACAGATCTGTGTATCTATATAAGAGGAAGAAAAAGATGAGAAGAAGGAATACAAAAAAAAAAAATGGAAAAAGAGATGGAGAAGTTAGATACGTGTGTTATATTATTATAAATATAAATAAAAATGCACTCCCTTTTAGAAGACTCAGGACGCTTCTTCTTTATAATTTATAATTTTGATATTCGATATAAATCATAAATTTTAATAAAAGTATCAAAATATTGATTATCGAATAGAGATTTTTACGTTACAATGTGAATATGAATTATAATTTTCTCTTAAAAAAAGTGTACTAACTGATAAAAAAAAACGATCGATATGACATACAATAAATGTCCAAAGGCTTTTAAGCGGGGGTGTATGTCTACACGCATATACATATAACTATATTCCTAATGTACGATCAAGCATAAGTCTACGTTAATTTTGTGTAGATGTATCGTTAAACGATTGACGTGTTGCTGTATTGCGTGTTTTCCTTAAAAAAGAACGGGTACTATGAAGAATATTCCTTTTTTTGGGGGACATTTTACTAAGAAAAAGAACATATGTACACATACGCGCGCACATATATATACACGTATATTATCCATTATCTATTTTCTGCGATCTCTACGCCTATGTATATCCGAATTACATATGTATAAATATATATATATACATATATATAGGGTGTCAGGAAAAAAGATGGTTCAAGAATCTATTCGTGTAATTTTACTAATCAACTCTTTTGAAAAAAAAGCAACAAATTTTTGTTATTATTATTATTAATTTTATTTATTGTACGCCATCTTTTGTAAATAGCTATATATGATAAAATAATAAAATTCTTTTGTGTACATAGTTCTCCATAATTTTTCATTTTTTATCCTTTGTTACGTATTCTGTTTTTTTCTTTCTTTTTTTTTTATTTTTTTTAAATTAAAAGTGAATATATCAGCATTCTTGAACCAGATTCTTTGAACACTTTATATATCTAAAACAGTGTTGTAATAAGTATAGTTCGAGCGGGATATCCGTCTCAGGGGCCAAGCTGTAGAATAAAAAAAAAATAGAAACGAGGTGGTTCATATGTTTAAATAAAAATTGAAACAATTTATAAGCTATTCTAAGAAATGTGTAACAATTTGGGAAACAATCGAGAATAATAAAAAATATTAATTCACAAAAAAAAAAAAAAATAGTTATAGGGAACAATTTACATTTTCTAAAAATGATTTAAAATGTAATTAAATCGTGTTTTGAAACGAGATATTAAAAATGGATTTTACTACATGTTATAATATTAAATGTGCAGGCTATGCAATTTTCAAGTAATTAGTGAAGTTAATGAGGTTTTGAGTTTGGTTAATTTAGTAGATGGAAAATATTAGCTTTGAAAAAGACAAACTTTCAAGTCGACGAAAATTTGGATGAAATTCAAGATAGGTATTAAATTTAAGAAGAACGAGTAAAAATTCTTATTTTAATAGTTCATAATCTTCTTCCATCTAAGTAAGATAATTTGAAATGAAAAATGAATTTGATGATTAATTTATTATCATCTAAGTAATTAAACTCGCGAATGAAAGATTGTGAAAATCAATAGCAATATAATCAATAAATCCTGAAAGTAGAATAAGAATCAAATTGCATGTGAAATTAAATCAAAATAAAAATCAAAGGAAATTATGTGATTTAAGAAATGCATCTTTACAGATCGCGAGGCTATCTTCTTACAGCACTGTAAAAATAAAAAAAAAAAAATTAAAAGCAAGAATGACGAAAGAAAAAAGTGAAAAACTTGAAATTAAAAACGAAAAAAGTTGTAAATTTAAATGAAAATTATTTCTTTGCTGATAAACTTTGTTCGAAAATAGCGAATTAATGACATTGTTATCGATCGTTTAATTTCCTCTATCTTTTATCAATTGCGAAACGAACCAAGATATTATCGTTTGCCATCGGTTTGCGTCATCGTTGTTAGTATTCTTGAATTAATTTAATTAAAAAAAAAAAAAAAAGGAACCAAAAGATCGAATTCTATGGAAACGTGACTCAAACAAGGATGAGAGAGAAAGAGAGAGAGAGAGAGAGAGGAAAAGAAAAGGGAATTCTTATCAAGTGCCTTTGTGTATTTTTGTAATTTAAGCTAAAAACTACTCGATGTAAGTCTTAACCAAAAAAAAAAAAAAAAGTGTAACCATGAAACGATATATCGATACTGCAAACGCATGCTCTTATTAGTTTTTGATAATTCGTTGTAAATCATACCATGCTTATAAACTTTATACCTATTCTTTTTTTTTTATCTATTTCGTCATTTTCACGATCGAACCTCTATAACTCTCGAAAACTCCTACGAGATTATAATTTCGTCCATTCCTTTTCGGTTAAAAAAATCTTTACAAAAGGAGCATGAATCTATCCATTTTAATTGGAATTATAGTCCGCTACTCTCTCTAAATTGCATGGATAACGAGGCTGTAGAATAATTTTCTAGAAAATTAAAACTAAAAAAAAAAAAATATGAAAGCATTCTCATGAACATTCTTTGAGATTCGAGTTTCGAGGATCGACCGTAGATACCTCTCTCCTTATTTTCTTCGTTTCCACATTTCTTTTTATCATTTCCTTTCTTCTTTTTCGTTTCGATATTCGAGAGAATGTGGATAATCAAATCTGAAGAGAAATTTGTAAATCCATTTTTCTTGTCAACAACCGGAAATTCGATGAATGACTAATTTAAATAATGAAAATAAGTGAAAATAAAAATGTCTCTTGTTCGCTATGACATGTCGGAAATACATAGCACAAATCTCGTTTGGACGAATATCCATTTTCAATTATGATACGATCATCGATGTCTACCGATTAATTATTGTTCCCAAGGCGAAATTCAAATTCGATGTTACTATTAAAAAAACGATATGAAAACGTTATCATCGTCGTTCGTTCTTCTTTGCACGAGTGATTGTGCGTGACCGTGACAATACTGCCAATTCTTCGGCCGATAGGGAATTTATCGAACGACTCGATTTACGAGGCAAGGAAAAGGCAAAGAGGAGAAAGAACCAATGAGAATTCTTGGACTCGTTGTATGTGCGGTGTGTTTTAATGTAAGGCAACACGCGTCATCCAATGGATAACGAATGGTTCTAATCCCAAGAAATTATTGTGTAATTGGGTGATAATAAAGAAGTGACATTCGAATTGTCGATCGTTTGAATTTTTTTCTGTCGCTTTCGTTTTCTGCACGCTTTTCATTTTTTTTTTTTTTTTTAACTAATTAATTTCGAGTTCCTTCCTAAATTGAGAGATCCTTTTTTTTCTCTCGTTGCCATTTACATCTTTTTTTACTTTTGCTTTGATAAAAATTCAAAAAACAAGCTATTAACGATCCATGCGATATCACTTTTTCTTTCTTTCTCTCTCAGAACAATTAGAGATATTCGTATTTCATCCTCTTGTATTTTCGCAAACTTTAATTCGACTTAATTTCTCAATATCTATTAATTTCTCTTTTCTCTTCCTTATCAAATATCTTCTTCTCTTTACATTTGTACACACTATACGTCGATTCTTTCCAATGTTTAATTCAACCACGAAAAGTGTCATTTCCAATCTTAGAAATTTTCCAATGTCTCAATTAATTTTTCCATTCTCTTCCTTTTTAAGGTATCTTCTTCTTCGTCGCATTGGAAATTTTACGATCCTCCGTGTGTCCACATAAGAATAGTAAACGAAATAAAAGTTTCAAATCGATCGCACAATTCTCGGTCTCTGCCTCTGATTTTAGATCGAAGAAAGAGCCGTGAACTTTTTCGATAAGTAATGCACACGGTTCCGCGCTCAAAGGAAGACCTGTACTTTTTCAATGTTAATACCGTCGTAAATCTTGTTGGGGATGCTCGGTTGATAAATAATCCGGCGGCCCGAACGCATGCGCCCTGGCCATCGATTATTTTGATTGGTGCCAGATATTACCAGGCTCCAGTTCGTGGCAGTTTGCCACAAAGGAAAACGAATCTCGAATTCCCCGTAACCTCGAGCGCTCGGATAAACGATAACAAACAATATATACCGTCAAAAATTTGGAAGAATGAAAGATGTTACTTATCTTGGATAAAATTACGGGAAAAATTGCGAGGAAGTGACAGTATCGAAGTATGAATTCGGAATTTCACGTCGATGAAAATTTCGAATTGAAAATTCATGGTCAGTTTGACATGCGTGAAGGGAGGAATTTTTGAACTTTTCTTGTACATAGGGTGTATCGTATAGATATGAAACGAACTGGATTGAATCAAATTTTTGATTTGAAAAGCAAATTTTAAGAGATTCCTTAACTTTTGTTAAAGGAATAATGGAGAAACTTTTTGGAAGAAGGAACTTTAGCATAATGGAATCTTTTTTTTTTTTTTGAAAAATTTTTTTTAGAGAAGCCATTTCCTCTTCAGAAAACTTGTTAACTATATTTATTCTTTTTTGTATATTGAGTCAAAGATTTTCATTCTTTTAGTATTTTACGTGCAAAATAAAAAATGCAGTGAGGTATTTTAAATTTTTTGATAAATAGAAAAAATCGTAATAAAAACGAGCTCGAGAAGCTAAAAAAGTTGATTAAAGAAAAAAAAAAGATACAGTAAGAAATAATGTAAAAGAAAAGTAAATATTTTTTTTTTACTTGTCATTATTTTCCTTTTCCATCTGACTAAAAATGAAAAACTCTTTCCACAAAATACGTTTCATTTCTTTTGCGTATACACCCTTGCGTATGCACATATTTCCCTCCCTTCTATTTACCCACATATGTATTTGCTAAAACATTCAAACTCGATTCCTTTTTGTGTATTCTTGAATTCGTTTATTTCCACAGAGTTTCCTTTGAGTTATATCCAGCAAATATCATATCCAATTTTTCGGTAAAAATTATTCATCCAATCATTCATCGTGGATAAATTCGATCCTAAAAAAAAATCATGAGTACCACGAAACCGACCAGCTGCAAAGAGGCGATTCGAATGTGGGAGGAAGAGAATAAACAAGATGCTTCGACCGCGAAGGAAATGATCCTTAGCTTTCGATGGCCGCCCATAGAAAAAATGGACAATTCTTTGGCGGTTTTGGTCAATTGTGAAAAGCTCTCCCTCTCGACGAATATGATCGAAAAGATTGCGGGTAAACGTATCTTTTCTCATTCCATATTTCGTTATTTTTACTTTTATTGTTACTGCTTATTCTTTAAATTTCTCGAAATTGAAATTACTTTTGAATTCAATAATTTTTTATTGAAATTTTATTTTAATCACAATATACATGTCTCTGTTTGGAGAGACATGTATTAAATTCGAAGAATTCAGCGATTGTTTCGAATAATTCGAATTTACGATCGAGAGTAATGAAATTGACCGGGCAAATAATTTCACGTAAATAGAATTACGTCGTGGGTTACGAGAAATGGATCGTAGCTACTGGTCGACCTACTTAATTGACGTTTAATCACATCACGATTAATACGATTCGATCGAAGGAAAATTCGATTATAAATAGATCTTTCTAAACATTGTGCAAACATCTCTGTCAAAATATCTCTTAGATTATATTTTGAAATCCTTATATCCTCTCTTCTCATTTTCAGATTAAAATTATTTTTACAAGAGTCTCGTAATTGTTCTTTAAATTAAGAGATTTGATTCTTATCAATTTTTATCTTCCTTTAACTAGTTTGAAACTTTAATAAAATAGTGAGATTCAATTGAAAATTCGATCAATTATCCTTCTTAAAATTCTTCTTAAAATTTTCAGTCGAATCAAAATGAAATTGCAACAAAATGAAATTCAAAAAATTGTTAAAACAGGAATCGGAACGTTGAAAAACCTGAAGATCCTCGCGTTAGGCCGTAACCTGATCAAATCGTTCGCCGGATTGGAGCCATTGGGCGACACTCTGGAGGAACTTTGGATTTCGTACAACCTGATCGAGAAAATGAAGGGAATCAACGCGATGAAAAATTTGCGCGTTCTCTACATGTCGAATAACCTGGTCAAAGATTGGCACGAGTTCAATAGACTTCAGGAACTCACGAATCTTCGTGATTTACTTTTCGTAGGAAATCCATTGTACGAGAATCTCGAGGTAATTTCATTCTTGATCCTTAAGAGTTAGGTTATGATCAAAAGAATAAAAATCTTTTGTTACGAGTTTAAAATTTTCTGTTTGGTTGAAGAGGATTGGAAAAATTCACAACGATGCTTGATTTAATTTTCAGGTTGAAATCTGGAAATCGGAAGTAGCTAAACGTCTGCCAATGTTAGAAAAATTAGACGGTGAATTGATCATAAGAACAGAGGAAAGCGAGACTTTGTTGCAACTTGACAGTCCTGTGCAAATATGAAGACTATGGATTGTTTATAATCTTTTTTTTGATTACTATATTTTTATACTTTACTATAATTTATTTGATAAGTAATTTATTTATTTATTTATTTCTCTGTTTATTTTTTCTTTTTTATTTTTATTTTTATGATTTTAATTTTGTATACAAGTATATGTATAAAATTGTAAAATATATTTTTTTTTGTAAAATCAATCTCTGTCATAATTAATTCAATTATTCTTTGCGATGAAAAAATATAAAAAAAGAGCTTAACACATTTCTTTTGTATAACACGAAAGAGAAACGTTCCTATAATACAAAATAGAAATGAATCAAGCAAAAGAAGGTTATCAGAAAGTGCGACACAGCGATAATTTCGTACATTTATATTAATTTATTCGTCTTACGATACAAGACAAATCGTACATACGTTTCTGGTGATTGTAAAAGGTTGAAAAAAGCAAATAGAGTTCGATTGGATTCGATGCACGAGATAATACCGAGGATCGGACAGACGACATTTTGAGAGATCATCGTTTCTTCTTCTTAGTCATTTTTATTATATATATATATATATATTTTTTTTTTCTTTCTTAAATTCATTTTCACGTATTTTTTGTTATCCTCTTATATTTTTCGAAAGCGTTCACGAGATACGAAGATGTCTTGTCGATCTTCTCCTCCAGTTTCTCATTTTTCTTTTTTTTTTTTTTATTCGTTTCTTATTATTTTTTTATTTTTTTTTTTAAATTATTATTATTCTCGCGTGTGTACGTACGTACGTGTGTATGTAGACGCAAACGAGACGCGCGTGAATAAATGGTGCAATAGAAAAATTGACGAGTGTGCGTTTTGTCGTTCATATTTCCCCATACCGAGTGTTCTAGCTACTTTTTGGTCGCCAATCGATCGTTGTCCGCTCTAATTTCCCTAGATTTATCCCCATTTATTCCATTATCCCTAGATTCTCTACCTTCCTATCCTTTTTCAAAGGATTAACTAACTAACGATCGAGATTCGAGAAAAAGTTCGATAAGAGATGAAACTCTTTCGCTCTACGCTTTGTTCTCCAATTGTCTTTGATTACTCGTCCAATTTCGTCGAATCGATCGATTCGATTTAGAGACACGAAACGCGGCGTGTCGAGAGGAGTTTATTAGGAAAACAGATGTATAGAAAGATTTCAGATTGTACGAGCAAAATCAAACACCGTGATCCCCGCGACACAGGGACACAGATATACGCAAGGGGTGTGTACAGACACTTTCGCTGGTATTTCTTAATTATTCGATTAAATTCATTATACATATGCGTGTAACGTATGTGTGTATGTGTGGTTTATCCGCGTACATCCTTACGTACACATGCAACACGGGCACAAGATCATCGTTCATCTACGAATTTTCATCTGTCTCTTTTTTTTCTTTCTTTTGTGAATTCCATCCTCATTTTTTTATTTTTTTTATTTTTTATTCGTTTACTTTTTTTTTTTTTACTTTTGTTTCATTTCAACCTGTTTCGGTTTCGTAAACGTCGGTCGAAATCCGTCGTGCGAGATTTGACGAAAGAATCCGAACTCTCGCGCGTATGCGCGAAGGGATGCAAAAGTATTACAACTTCGAGAAATGTTTCGAAGAGTTTCTCACGAGTTTCAATGATCGATCATTGTTGAGATCTATCGATGAGATTTTTTTTTTCCAGGTTTATTTTGAACGGATAACAAGTCGACAGTTTTTCCTTATTAAAAAATTTATGTTTACTTTTGACTCTCCCTACGTTTACACGTGCGCGAGATCGGATTAAAAGTATCGCTGGAGGTTATATTGGATCGAGAAGTGAGAAACGACGCGGTGGAAAGATAGAAAGAGATATTAGCCAATGATGAGTAAGAAAAATATCGTATATCGACTCTCTGTGGGATTGATTTGCAATTCGTCGAGGCGATGCGAATCGGCGATGAATATTTCGTTACTTTAATATACAGTGTGTACATATTTATTTCAATTACATTTCAATTCATCCTTTCTTTATTTATTATCGATAATTTATATTTAAAGGGAACAAGGAGACACTTTCTTTCAATTGTCGATGGACGAGATTCGAAATAAAATCTTGTGCTCGTCCTTGTTTTTATCTTTCGCTATATTATCTCGAAAAAAAAAAAAGAAGAAGAGTCCCCGTTTTTCGAAACGTTACTCCTGTACGTCATGGCCGTTTAGCATTGCTTCGAGTTTCGACGGTCTCGACGATAGCATTTTTGTTTCTTTTTTTTTTTTTTTTTTTTTTTTTTTTTTTTTTAACATTTACCCTTAGATACATCACGCTGACAAATTTAAACGATTTTTTTTAACAATATTTTTCTTCCTTTTTATACGCTCTTTTTGCGATCGGATTTTTTCTTGTCCACACAAAAATAGTTCTGATAATATACATATGCTCTCTCTTTTCTTTTTACTCTTTATATATTCTCTCCGTTTTCCTTCTGTTTATTTAATTTTCTTTAGTTACCAACACCGATTATATTCAACACGATTTACACTGAGAAATGTCTGACGAGTTTCAAGGTTGAAACCTTGAAAAAGGGAAAGAGAGTCGACGAGCTTTCCGCGGGGATGGATTTTGATTTTTGTTCTTTAGCTTCCTTTTCGTTTTATATTTTTCCTTCTTTCCTTCTTTCTTTTGATTATCGAAATTTTAACATCGATCCTTAACAACCGAAATTTTCCTTTTTCCGCGGTGCTCTCTTGTTTCCTTTTCTCGTTTACCCGTTTTACGTCGAGGCGAATCGTTGCTTCTGCTTCTTCACGAAGTCGAGGGCCATCTTATCGCCGACTCTCGTCTCCAAAATCTGGAGAATCGGATGATCTGGAAATGAAAGATAATTTAATTAATGTTATAATAAAATTTTGAAATAATGAATGAAGAACAAAAAATGATTGTTTATGATAATATTAATAATTAATATACTTAATTTACCTAACTATGATATTGCATAAATATGTCAGCAATGGAATAACAATATCAGATCAAACCAGACTTCGAATCACAAGGTCCATATTCACTTAATCAAAAAACATTTACTAAAATTGCGATCAATTTATAATAAAATTTTTAGAAAATTCTTTTACTGTTTCAATGAGATAAAAATCACATTAGCATTAAAAAAAGTTTCCTTATCATTCCTTGAACAAATATATATGAATAATTCAATAAAATTATTTTAATATTAAATTATAATGTTTTTATTTCGCTCCTTTCGATTCTCAAACAAAAAAGTAGATAAAAGTGAAATGAATGGAATCAATTCTTACTTCGATTCTTTTGATGCATCAAAGGTAATTCGGTGTGTTTGAGGCCGTGGAAATTGTCTATGCTGGCGTTCGTGTCGGTAACACCAGGTATCGTGCTCAACCCTAAGAATGCTTCGCCAGCAAAGTCATTCGCCGTGAGGACGTCGTGATCCATTACGGTGAACAACACCATGGCATCTGGACTTCGACACTGTTCCACGCTCACAGAACTACGAACAAGGATTCATGATTTAATGATAGAAAAATATATAACAGATATGTCAAAATGCGAATAATATGTCTGATAAAGCAAAAAAAAAAAAAAGGTCAGAACTTTCGACTCGTTGTCAGAAGTTATTTAGAAAAGTATAATAATTTTGGATACATCGAGATATGATGTTGAATATCTTGGATAGTTTATAAAAATTTATATTTCTTATATATATATTTCGTATTTTAATATATATTTTTTTTCCAAGATCAATATTTCAACGTTAATTTCTAATTTCACTTAAAACACTTGTAGATTTTTCTTGGTTATTTAGTTTTTGAATTAATATTTTTAAATGTTAAAAAATTTCCGCGCTATTCCTTCTATAAATTATCGATGAAATTTATTTTGTCGATAAGTTAGGCAAGGATTTTAAAAACTTCAATCAGCGCCATCTCGCGTTTGGACGCGGGAAGCTTCGACTTGTTATTAGCATAGCAGGATATATAAGGAGGTATTCGTACTTAGACAAGAAGAGCAATGAGTGAGACAGAGAGCAAGAGAGTGTGCGACAAGGAGAGAGAAAATATTTCGATGGCGCTAGAAAGAAAATTAATTAATTATTAATTATCTGCTGAAAATTTCTAAACTTTTAAATTTGCATCTTAAAGCTAGAACTCCAAACAAGTTTCTCATATAAATTTTAATGAAAATTTTCTTTTAATTAATTACTTATTAACAATTAATTCGTCAGACTTCTCAATACATGGGAGACGCTATATTGAAAAATAATTAATTATTAATTTTTAACTAAGAATTTCTATAATTTTCTAGTTACATCTTGAAATTAAGACTTCAGACAAGTTTCTCATATCAATTTTAATACGAAATTCCTTTTCATTAATTATTTATTAACAATTAACGCATCGTATTTCATAATACGATCGAAGATATCATCTTGAAAATTAATTAATTATTAATTTTCTACTAAAAATTTATACACTTTTAAGCTTGCATCTTAAAGATAGAACTTCAGACAAGTTTGTTTAATTAATTTTAATGTGAACATTTTTTTCGTTAATTATTTATTAACGATTAATACGTCATACTTCATAATAGATGAATGATGCCATATCAAAAATCGATTAATTATTAATTTTCTATTAAAAATTTATGCACTTTTAAGCATGCATCTTAAAGATAGAACTTCAGACAAGTTTCTTTAATTAATTTTAATGTGAACATTTTTTTCGTTAATTATTTATTAACAATTAATACGTCATACTTCATAATAGATGAATGATGCCATATCAAAAATCGATTAATTATTAATTTTCTATTAAAAATTTATGCACTTTTAAGCATGCATCTTAAAGATAGAACTTCAGACAAGTTTCTTTAATTAATTTTAATGTGAAATTTTTTTTCGTTAATTATTTATTAACAATTAATGTATCATACTTTATAATAGATAAAAGTCGTCTTGTTTAAAATCAATTAATTATTATTATTCTACA